TTTTTTTTTTTTGGTCCCAGGAATAATTTTTCTTTCTAAGGTGCTATATTTAATTACGTACAATTTTGGTCTTAACAAGGTAACACAGAATTTACTAAAAACTGAAATAAAATATACCTAACAAGATATTTATCACACGACTCTGCTACAAAACAAATCGTGTGACAAATAAGTTTTATTATGCACACGTCACCACGTCCTCCTCTGTCTCTGGTTCTCCCATTCTCTTGATTCAAGAACAAAACAAATCTCTCAATCCAAAGAAAGAAAGAAAATGGTGAAAGAAATAGAACTCATCTTCATTCCAGTTCCATCCACAGGTCACCTTCTCGTCAACATCGAATTCGCAAAGCGTCTCGTCGATATCGACCATCGGATCCACACCATCACCATCATCAATTTGAATTCACCAACTTCACCTCACGCTTCCGTCTTCGCCAGATCTCTCATCGTTTCACAGCCTCGAATCCGTCTCCACGACCTTCCCGCTCTTCAAGATCATCCTTCATTGGATCTCTACAAAAGAGCTCCGGAAGCTTACATAGTACAAGTCGTCAAGAAAAACACTCCTCAGATAAAAGTCGCCGTCACCGGAATCATTGACTCTCGTCGTCGTGGCTCSGATTCGGTTCGAGTCGCCGGTTTGGTTCTCGATTTCTTCTGCAATTCGTTGATCCGTGAAGTTGGCAATGAGTGTAACCTCCCGTCTTACATATTCCTGACTTGTAACTCTAGGTATTTGGCTATGATGAAGTATATTCCGGATCGGCATCGGAAAATCGGATCCGAATTCGATTGGAAATCCGGCGATGAGGAATTGCCGGTTCCCGGATTCGTTAACTCTATTCCGGCGAAGTTTATGCCGCCGGGTTTGTACAATCGAGAAGCTTACCAGGCTTACGTAGAGCTAGCGAGGGGATTCGGCGATGCGAAGGGTATTTTGGTGAATTCATTCGCGGAGCTTGAGCCGCATCCGTTTGACTATTTCTCTCGCCAGGTGGATTACCCGCCGGTGTACCCAGTCGGACCGATTCTTAGTTTGAAGGATAGAGCGAGTCCAAACGAGGAAACTGCCGATCGGGATCGGATCGTAGGATGGCTCGAGGATCAGCCTGAGTCTTCAGTGTTGTTCCTCTGTTTCGGGAGTAGAGGAAGCGTTGATGAGCCACAGGTGAAGGAGATAGCACGAGCGCTCGAGCTTGTCGGATGCAGGTTTCTATGGTCAATCCGAACAAATAGCCTCGTTGATACGGACCCTAACGATGTGTTACCGGATGGGTTCATTGACCGAGTAGCGGGTAAAGGTTTGGTGTGTGGTTGGGCACCACAAGTGGAAGTGTTGGATCATAAGGCGATTAGAGGGTTTGTGTCTCACTGTGGTTGGAACTCTACCCTTGAGAGCTTGTGGTTCGGCGTTCCGATCGCAACGTGGCCGATGTACGCCGAGCAACAGCTGAACGCGTTTACATTGGTGAAGGAGCTTGAGCTCGCCGTGGATCTCCGGATGGATTATGTGTCGAGTCGTGGAGGTTTAGTGACATGTGACGAGATAGTGAGAGCCGTCCGATCTTTGATGGACGGTGGGGAAGGGCTGAAGATGAAGGTGAAAGAAATGGCTGATGCGGCGAGGAAAGCTGTGATGGATGGAGGTTCGTCGTCTTTGGCTACGGCTCGATTCATTGGAGAATTGGTGGACGATGGTTCGTGCTAATACAAAGATTGTAAAATCAATGATTATTGTGTCTCCAAAAACTATGATCCACATAGTCTATGGAAGTAGTCATTGAGTATCTTTTACTGTCTTACTCTCTCTGGTTATGGATTAATCAAATATTCAAGTTCAGACCAAGACATAGTAAAAACCTTTCTTGGTTAATTAGATTGTGCATATTTGGCTCGTTTGGTTTGAATATCACCTACAAATGTTTAGTCTGAAAGTGAACAAGATGTTTAGCAAAATAATAAAAAGAAAGGGAACAAGATGAAAAACAGAGCATTAAAGGTGAAACAGAGTGGAAGCAGAACAGAGATAAATAAAGCAAACCAACGCCGCAAAGGCCCAACTCAAAGATGTACCAAAGTAAAGCCCAAACCCATATTAAGCCAGACAAATATCAGTCCATGTTAAACAACGACGACGTTTTCCATTATAACTAAAACTCCGCGCCGATCAACTCGTCGAGGAATCGGTTCACCGCAACAAACGAAGATCCTCCGTCAAGCAAAGCCTTCCTCGCCGCTACAGCCATTTCCTTCACTTTTCTCCTCGGCGTATCTCCACCGTTCATCAGAGATCGTATAGCTCCGGCGATCTCCTCTGCTTCCACTATCTCTCCGTAAGCCGAGACGTAATCAAGCCGCAGCTCCACGGCTAGACCCAACTCCTTCACCATCGTGAACGCGTTTAGCTGTTGCTCGGCGTACATTGGCCACGTGGCTATCGGAACGCCGAACCACAAACTCTCAAGCACCGAGTTCCAACCACAGTGAGACACGAACCCTCCGATCGCCTTGTGACGAAGCACTTCAACCTGTGGGGCCCACCCGCAAACCAATCCTCTACTCGCCGTCCGATCGCTAAACCCTTCCGGCAAGAGATCGTACGGAGTCGCTTTCTCCGCCGGATTTGTTCGAATCGACCAAAGAAACCTGTGGCCGGTGAGATCTAGGGCTTTAGCTATCTCCTTAATCTGCGGTGCTTCCAGGATCCCCAAGCTCCCGAAGCATATGTACACGATTGAAGACTCCGGTTGCTCGTCCAGCCATCTCATGACCCGGTCACGTTGATCCGGAGACGGACGATCCTCCAAGCTAAGAACCAGTCCGACCGGATAAACCGGAGGGTAATTCTCAGGACGACGAGCGAAGTAATCAAATGCGTTCTGCTCAAGACATGTGAATGAATTGACCAAAATGCCCTTGGCTTCAGGGAACTTCTCCGCTATCTCGACCCAAGCTTCGTAGGACTCTCTCACGAATAGACCCGGAGGCATAACCTTGGTCGGAACGGAGCAAACGTAACCGGGAATGGCATGTTCCTCGTCGCCGGAGCTCAGTTCGAGCTCGGAGGCGATTCTGCAATGTCTCTCAGGGAGATACTTCATCATACTCAAGAAACCAGCGTTACTTATTAAGAAAATGTAAGAAGGGAGATTAAACTCGTTTCCCACTTCGATCAAAGGAACACAGAAGAAATCGAGAACCAAACCAGCGACACGAGAAGAAACTAGAGTGGAGAGTGCGTCTCTGACGAGTGGAATTGTTTTCTTGGTGGACTCAAGAATGTAAGCTTCTGAAGCTTTAAAGAAGAGCTCTAATGGTGGAAGGTTTTGGATTTCAGGCAAGGCGTAGAGACGGATTTGAGGCTCAGAAGCCACCAGAGATTTAGCGAAGAGGTTGGCTTGAGGAGCTATAGGTAATGTCCAATTGAGGATGGTGATTGTGTCGATGCGATGGTCACGTTTTAAGAGAGATTTAGCGAATTCAATGGTGACAAGAAGATGACCAGGGATTGGAAATGGAACAAAGATGATCTCT